GATTTTGCTTATGTAACGGATGGGGCATGCAGTGAAGCGGAAATTCTTGCCAAGGAATTAGTAGTCTGCGAGGTAGGTGTTGTATATTGATCCTGTGAAAAGTTAGTAGCTTTTCGATGATTCAAAACTGGACTCAGCTGTCCATGAACACTTTCATTGATGAATTTTTGGGCTTTAAATTGAATGATCCTAGCTGATGAAACAGCTGGACTTGGTCAGTAACAAGCCACACAGATCATCTCACTCCATTTTACACTCATTCTTCTCTTAGGATGAGTGAATATTTGGTTAAATACGTACCTAGGTGGCATCCCCATCTCAATAATTGATAATTAATTTGTCTTTTTGGACTAGGGCACTATCGTCCAAAGTCACATGCTTGAAGTAGTCCATCTCTAAAAAGCTCAGGGGTTACAGCTGCCTGTTTTTCTTTACAACTAATTCCTCTAACCAAGTGTTTGTTTGGTAGGCGTTGGGCTGGCTGCTGAACCCCGTGACACCCCTTTACTGGCTGAAGGTGTTTCTGCAAATCGCATATCAAAACCAGGCTCGCCACGACCTCGGATTCTACTTTCCCCAATTCTCCCCGACGCTGTACACGCGGGTGGCAACGCTGCTGGACTTTTGTACCTTGGACGTTGGATCCCTCAGGTTTTCCTACAGTGTGTTGGCGGCCGCGGCGATCTACCTCGCCTGTAGCACAGAGCTGGCCGTTCAAGTCTCAGGTGAGTCGGAAATGTCTACCTTACGTTCACTTCCAGATATCCCCGATATTCTTATCTTCTGAAAATTTCATGGTTCAGTAGGGTTCAAAACATCCCCAACCTTCCCTAAATTTTTGTAAATGAAAATTCTTTACCAAGGAAGTAGTTGTCTGAACTACAATTTTTTTTTTTAGTTTTTACGTTATGAGTGTCATTGTAAAGTCAGGTTACAGCTTTCACTATCGCCTACACTAGATATTTAATTTCCATACATTGTTGCAACAGAGTGTGCTTATCTAAATTACTGATTTCTGACAAACTATCAATTCCAGGAAATATATGTTATGGACGTGAAAACTTTTGGAATTTTCCAACTGTATATTCCTAGACTCGTCCATCCTGAAAATAAGTGAAAATTTGTTAGAAGTTTTAAAAATTGAAATATTAAATCAAAGAAGGAAAATATATTTTATTTTCTAGTCTCACCAAATAGCTGGAAAGCTATGTGGTTACAGTGCCTTGAGCCTGCCCAATACAAGGTCGCTGGTTCGATCCTGGGAAATTTCAGTGAGTTTTTGATGATTGAAACTTGACCACTTGTCCTTGATCATTTGGTTCTTAATAAATGATCCTCGATACAGAAACAGCTGGTCTTAATTTTAGTTAGAATGCTTCACAGAGCGTTTACTAAATTCTACCCTCATCCCTTAATAATTTTTTGATTAAAATATTCCCAGTTGCATCCTAAATTTGTCGGCAATACCTCATGATTATTATTGGTAGCACAAGAAATAGTTTTTGCATATCGCTACCTCATGCTCTGTGACCTTTTTGATTGTAAAAGGTCATTTAAATCATGTTAATTCAGAGTCAGAGAAACACTAGTACTGAATAAAATGGTGTGTGACATCATGATGAAGCTAACTGTCAATAATTAGTGTAGTAGAATAGTTTTTTTTGTAGGCCTAATTATCGTGTATGTCATAGGTTTGGCAGAGGAAGATATAATGCCATGTGTCGACTGGATGTCCGTATTCTGGAAAACGCTGAAGGATGAGAACACGGAATACTCCAAGAAGTATTCTCGACTTCCCCCTGGGATTACGAAGGCTGCGTTGGTGGACGACTCTTTCAACCTTCAGAAGCATGACCCTGTCAATCTTCCGTTGCTGGTAAGTTATGCGTCACACATCCAAATGTAGTAAACTCGGCCATATAGCTGGAAAACCACAAAAAATACCACTCATAGGAACAAATAATGGACACATTTGCATAAGATGGAAGCTTCAGCAAGACTGAGTAGAAAATTCTACAGTTCCCTGCAATCGTAAATTCACTTTTCTCCCTTTGTTTTTGCTGAGATAGGTAATGTGACATGCTAAAGCTCACAGTAAGTTATCCTATTAGTTAAGTTTGGTTGAAATGTTGGTGTATTCATCAGCTGAACTCAGTTGATGTCAAACTCCATTTTGATTAAAATGCTGGTGACAGCTTCAACACGTGATGGAACGTCTAGTTGTGTAAGTCAAAGATTTGTTTCAAACATATTTTCTTCCCTAGGACTCAGCACTGGAAGAAGCTGCCAAGTCTTGCCTCCTGACTCCGCCGTCCAGCAGCAAGAAGAGCAGCGTACAGACTGACCGAACGTAAAGACTACAACACTGGCGTGAAACTTCGACATCCATACACTTCAAGCAATATAGCGACGTTGGCCAAAGAGTGTATATCATAGCTAATTAATTTCCACCTCTTTTCCAACAATTTTGTACTGAGCGGATTCGTTACTTTTTTCATCAACGTTTTTAGAAAAACTTTTAGGAAGACATCGATTTTAGTTACAATTGTATATAGCGATAGATCAGCGGAAATACATCAGTGGGTATGTGTCTGGTGTCGGACGGATTACCAGTCGTGATTTTTAACATAAAATACGCTTACTATTTTACTATTAGGATGTTAAGTTAGCTCGAGAAAGACAAACCTCTGAAGATTTGTGTATTTGTCTGAAGTTTGTGATTTCAATTGCATCGTGGTTCTGAAAAGCTTGGATCAGCAATATTTAAAACATCTTAGTGATTTCCTAGTTGTATTTGTCTTTTATTGAGGTAATTCGTACCCATAGTAATCTTGCGAGATTTTGATTTTGGGTAGCATTTTGGAAATGTTTACTTATTATTGGTTGTGTTTTGATATTTTTTTGTAAACAGTTCTGTTCCTGACAAATCATCCCGAATGATGCATAAACATTGGAATTTTGATAAAACCAATTGTATTTTATCACGTTTTTTTAAAAATAATTTTTGATTTTTAAAACTGTTTGCAACAGGATTGGCTGTTTTTAGAACTCAAATCTTATGTTTGAACATGTAAGAACTTTCTTTTGTTTAACTTACCATTAGTCGTAGCCTTTTAGTAAATAGGTTAAAGAGACTGTAAAGATAAATAAGAATATATTTAGAGAGTGTTATTAAAAGGTTTATCTAATGAATAGATTGTAAAAATATATAACTTCGGTTTTATTGTAAAATACGAAACAATAAAGTTTATTGCGTTAATTTGTATTGTTTTCTGTCCTGTCTCGATTATTCACCCTCTTGATTCAGTTTGAGATTTGCAACTTACAAAGTACAATATTTGCAATTTGCAAAGTATTTAGAATTGAAAGAGAAATAGTCATTTGTGCAACAAGTAAGCAAATGAGCTCTTCTTTAAACAATAGAAAAATATTGATGCACTTGAATGTCATTAAATACGACAAGAATAATCCTCTCCACAAGGTTGGGACCTAGAATGGTTGTGAGTTAAGTAAGGAAAACCACATTGGTCTTGGATTTGACCTAGCTCCTTTGTGAGCTCCATGGGGACCTTAATTTACAACCCTCAAATTAGGTCTACTTGTTCACAAAAGAACAATAATTAAAAAAAGTATTGCCTTGATAATGAATTATAGTTTCTATACTGGTCATAAGTTTACCAGTTTTGACTGAAAATATAAGCTATAAGCAAAAACTTGTGTTCACATAAATATATGCCGGATTTGAGAAGACCATAGGTTAGGTTCACCTAGGTCAATGCAAGCACCAGAGGTTTTCAATTTGTCAAACTCATCCTCAATGAAAATGAAAAAAATAATAAGTACCAGAACTTGGTTGCAACAGTTACATGCCTAAATCTAACTTGTTAAACGGTTAAGAGGTATTATGGCATTGAGAAAAGGAAGTGTTCCATTTTCTATTAATTTCTCTTTTCAAGAGGGTTCCACCCGGCTGGTTACCACATGGTTCTACAAAAAAGAACCTTGTGGCATTATTTAAGTGTTTATCGAGATGAAATAAACTGTAAAATATCGGATGAAACTTCATAATTGTTTCTTAAAGCTTAAAGTATTTACAAGATCACTTTGAAAATCTGTAAATTAGTCTTTTCATGAGTCATTTTAGCTTCTAAATAATAGTTAAACATTAATAATTTATCCCCATCAATTGCAAGCTCTGATGTGTTAAGAGCACACAATCATTGGAAACAAATTAGTTTTAGAGTGTTGAGAGCTTGTACTGTAGAGGCATGTTTAGCCGCCATCTTGACTTGACCGGATAGAACCCTCTTAGCAAAAGTTAACAACAAAAGCTGAGTTATTGAAAAAACTGCTGTTTAGCAAACTAATTCAAGTGAACAAATGCCTCTTTGTATGAAAATTGTAGACAGATGCTATTTTAATAAAAACATAGGTACAAGATTATGCAACCTGAATTTTCAACAAAAATCATGGTTTTTCTACTTAGTTGTAGTCAATGTCAGTAGAATAAAATATTCTATATTTTAATGAAATACTTGTTAGTGACATTTTAAAATATAAATAAAGCAACTAAAGCAGAAATCAATCACTATTTAAGACCTTTGTGTGCATTTTTTTAGCCACCTAAAAGAGGAAAGTGAAAAATGCAGTGGTTTTAGTGGCTGTGACTAACCTGTGCTTTGATTTTGTATGCACCTATTAGTCTAACTATTAGTCTTAAGAATTTGACCATGAATTTGGAAGTTTTAATTTTCAGTTGTTTTCAATGAATACGGTTATAGAGCACAAGGAAAAATGTTGAACACATTTTGTTTTTGGGTACGTCCGATCCACCAAATATCGTAGTTTTTAAGTGAGAAAATAGTACCGGTAACTGAATCAAATTCTTATGGTAGGTAAAACTTAAAAAAAAAAAAAAACTTGGATATGTAGGCCTACCCCAATCACTACAAAACCTCCAGTGTAAAATACAAAGTTTTTACAAGAATTACAAGAAACAACTAAATGAATTGCATCCAAGCATACACTGCAAGCATATTTAATCTTGTTCAATTAATTCTGAGGCAGATTGTATATTTTGGCTGTTATCCAAGAAACTAATGCTTCTGTATTTAGTTTCTTCTATGGTTGAATTGGACGATTTAAATGTTTGCTCGTTTACCGTTTGATTCCTGTCTTTTGCTATGGTTGTGTGTGTGGTATTAGAATGGGAAGGACGTATTGGACGAAACATAATCGTCGAAGCTCTTCTTGAAGTCATCATTGATATCGACTGCCGTCTAAGGACTCGATCTAAATTTTCTTCTGCTCTCTTCCATTCCACTCTTTCCAAAAGGTTGACATTTGGAGATATTTCAGGTATCAACTCAAGTTTATGCTCAGAGAACGGTATTCTCAAATCTTTCCAATGAAACAAGCTAGATTGTTGCTTAATATTGTTATTGTCAGCTTCGAAAACTAAATTGCAATAGGCTTTCACCATTTGCTGACCCTGTGCGATTCCAACAAGACATTTCGCCTCATCTCTCTCTTTCATATTCGCATTCAAATTCAAATAGGACATGTAAGCTTTGATGGAATGTTCAAGCAGTTCTTGATCTGATCCTGCCAGTAGGCTGTACGAGGCCAACTTGTGATGGGCTAAAGCGACCATCTTTGTTATGTGGTTTTCTGTTGCAATTTTTAAGAGATTTTTCATGTCTTCGATGACATTGGACTTGTTATCAACATAACTGTTGTATCTCGCACTCAGGATGTAACCCTCACACTGGCCTTGGACATTTCCTAGTTCTGTACAAAGCTTCATGTAACACTCCAGCAGCTCTGGGACTGAGTTGAGTAGCTGGGCTGACAGATAAATCTTAATCAACTTGTGCAGCGCATCAGCTTCAGCAGACTTGTCACTGATAACCTTAGCCCAGAGTAAACTGTTTCTACACAATTGTATCGCTTCCTCTATATTCTCACGGATCAATTCTCTCTGAGACATTTCCAGAAATATTTTATGCAGCAGACCACAAGATTCAAGGTAAAGATTTGTCTCTGTTTCACCGACTTTCCAATATTTACCTTCAGACAAGGCCATTGAGCTTTCTATTTGAGCTCTTGCTTCGTTAAAATCTTGCTGTTTGTAAAACAAAAAAGAACCGTATAAATGTTTAGAAATCGCTTGTAACTGAGGGTCAGGCTGTTCAATATTTTTCATCACTTCCATGCATTGTTCGAACATCTCAAGAGCGATCCAAGACCATGAATTTTCGGAGTTGCCAAAGTACGTTGCCAAATCTAGAAATGCTGTTGCCTCTTGGGTTTTTTCTTCGTTCAACCGAGAACTTTCAGCCTTCATCAATCCATTGGCAAGTGGAACCAGTGCAGATTTAGTATATTTCAAAATTTTTCTTTTCTCCGTTTTATCCCTTCCTGGTTCCTTGTGATATGCTTCATCAACAGCAATCAGGTCTTTGACAAACTCATGGGTCAACAAAAACCCATCATCTTTTAAATTGAGAAGTAAACTCTCATGAAACGGTAGTCTGTACTCTCTCACTTCTTTTTTGGTCATCAGGGGAGATCCTGTTCTTATCCTATGTCGTAATTCTCCTAGTTCAACATAAGTATTGGATGTAATTGACCTCACATCATCTTTATCACTCAGCTCTGCTTCTGATGGTAAGGAAGTTTTACCATCAAAGATTGAAGTCTCTCTCTTACAAGGTATTGTGTACTTTGGATCTGACCAATCATTGAAGTTTGTCTTAGTTGAATGGTTGTTGATTCTTAAAGTTTTCAAACTTCCTTTCATTTTGAATCTAGAATCACTCTTAAGAATATCTGAGTTAGTATAAATAAAATTCTATGTCAGAAAACAAATAAGACCAACCAAAACAAACATTGGTGGGATGAAAAATAAACACCATCAGCTGATAAGTAATTCAATTTCAAAATCCATTTCAAATGTAGATTGAAGGTAGCTTTGTTAGTTTGTTTAGTAAAATCCTTTTATGTGTTTTTGTATAGTATAGTATCAGTGTCTAGACTTTTTTCGGTGGCCAAAGTTGGCAACTATGAAGATCACTCCAGTTTTGTTGAACAACTGACAACTTAATTCCTCTTCATCCTTAAAGAAATCTTCAAAAGGACAAAATACCAGTGTTATGTTTTGTGTTATTTTATTGTGTATCTATTAATCTAGTGTGTTGTGTATTGCTCTTGACTCTAATTTTCTCAGGCAAGCTAGCTGAACTGTATTCCTTTTCAAAATTCGTTACTATTAAAAGTTGAGTACTCAATCACTCAATGACCTTTTTTTAATTATAAAAAGTTATTATTTCACTGTCATTGACTGCAATTTCAACCAATGAGTATTTAGTAATGTAGAAGGAAGCCGGGTTTTAAACATGATAGCTTAATTTCCAAACAGAAACGGATAAATAGCTCACTTCTGCGAAAACCATACTCGAGTTGTCTCAAGTACTTCCCTTCAGAACATCCCCAAATTTAGCAAATGCTTAGAAGTTAAGAAGGGTAATACGTGGTAGCTCTCAGGCTGATGTAACTTTTTTCAGGGTTTAAATTCAGTATCAATTTGTTAACCTTTTAAAAATACCAGGGATTTCACAAGTTTCAAAATATGATGTTGACACTGTAAAACGTCACTTTTCATTATACCTGAACTGGAACATTTGATGAATTCTGAAAAATCATCTAAGCCTGTGGCCATACCATTCTACATATTTAGCTACGTCCAGATCTTATGAACACGCATTATAGTTCTCAGAAACTTAAATCTGGTAAAAGAAATAGTGTTGTAAACCTTTCTTGAAATATCAAGTTCAAAAGTAGCTTTGAGACAACTTTTAAGAGGTTTCATTGGCTCTATGCTTTTAGAAGTTTTTATAAACAATTTTTGAAATGAAAATATTTCGCCATATTTAGCCAGCAACTATATAGCAGCAAATTCATTGCAAGTCTGCAATTGTTGTCTAATCTCTAGAGTGAATTTCTAATTCCCATAATCAAAATGGATTATTATATTTCATATTAATAACAATTTTGTAGCTAGGAAAAATATCTGCATAAAGGTAGGTATTTATATAAAACAACAATTTACGTACAGTTGTATATTTCATACAATTAGTAAAGAAACAAGATTTTAAGAGTTAATCGACAATAAAGTAACAGATGTTAAAGAACAACCGAAACCACAGAACTTACAGTTTATTTACATGTTTATACATTATATATAATTCAATTGTACATAATCATAAAATAATTTACATACAATAATACACCGATAAATATATAAATCGTTACATGGCGGTTTGAGCAACTTTGTTGGAAGTCGGATTAAACGAGATTGGTCGAAACGCCTTCGGCTTCGGGGCGAAAGGTTGAGCAAGAGAGCTTAGTCCGAGGCGAGGCACCAGGGTCGACAACATGGGCGGTGGCGGAGGCTGAAACAGAAACAAAATGGTGGAAAAATAAACTTTTGAATCCTCTACAGCATGGACATGCCCAATATCTGACCAATTTTGAATGTGTTGCTAGCCTAGGTTAACGTCTCAGACTTTGGTGCATGAAGGATGGGTTCAATTCCCGGCACATCCCAAAAACACCAATAGGTTTGGACTGCTTTCATTTAAAAGCGTTTGTATTGATTTACTTAGAAACTGAATTATTTTTGTCAATTTGTCTCAAAGGTCAATTTCTTTCCAGTTTATTGGTTGGATTATTTGATCTAAGGAGATTACTGCAGAAAGTTTCATTGTGATTTAAAAAAAACCAAAGTGTTCTCGATGTTTCAGGATCTGTTCGCATTAATCGTTCGATTTTTCTACAACATTTTTCATTTGTTGGTCTAAAGATGATGTTTACATTAAGCCTGAAAATTACATTAATGACACTTAAGCATAGCCTATCGAGCTTTAGTTACTATTTATTGGCTACAGTGCTACTCCCACCTGTGGTATGATTGGAGGAGGGGTCTCTGGTGGCGCCTCCGTGGTGCCGTCCGGCACTGGGTGTACCGTGTCCGGCACAGGGCACGGTACCGGACTGGCCGGCTGTTGCAGGATCTTGAGTTGTTTCAGATGCAACGTGATCTCCATCGGACTTACGACCCGAGGCGACTTGCGACCAGGACTCGCCGACCTGGAAAACACACGGTATTTAACATGTACAAAAATATTACTGCAATAAGCAGCGTTTTCAGACGATTAAACAATCCCCTTTAGTTTAGGTAATGCCATATATTCATTTGCAAAGTCTACTACAAAATAAGTCTTTAGGGCATAACTCACCTAGGGGACACAAAAAAACTTATTTCTCAGTACTAACAATTTGACATTATTGTAGATGGAGTTTACTGTATTTTCTAGTATGTGTGGCCAGAGATGTAGGCGTCATATGGTGAGGTTGAATTTAGTGTTTGTAAGGCTGTCAAATCAACAACTTTCCCACTTATTTCCGGATAACTCTTGTATCTTACTAGGGATGAGCATCCATAGTCTTAGAACCATGGACTTGTTTTTCTATCGATGTTTGATAATTTTACATCAATGGTAGGCTACCGATGTTTTAGTTGGGCTACATCAATGTTTTAGTCAAAAATTGATGTTTTTGGCCAACTACCTATCAAAACATAATTTTTTCATGACTGATATTGAACTTTTTATTTATATTTATTTATTATTCCATTGAAAGGCTGATGAAATGTCGAATTTAAAAAAATATTGCAAACTGGACAAGAGTACAGTAAGATAACCATCTACATTGTTGAGGTTATGAACGTCTAGCTAGTTTCCAACCTAGGGATAATTAAGCTGCGACAGAAAGCAGAAAAAATCTCAAAATACAACATTGATTATCTATGTTTTTGCCCTGAAAACATCGATGTTTTTGCGACAATGTTATCAGTTCATCGATGGTTGAGCTATCGATGCTCATCCCTGTAACTTACCCATCCCTACTTTTAGCCACACAAAATCCAACAGGACCATACAAATACCTATTTCAGCATAAAAGACAGCGATTTTGATCAAAATGATAAGATTTTCAACAGTAAATCTCGCTCTTTAAGCTTCAGTTGTCTACCTAAGCTAGGTTTTTACCTGTTATAAGTTGCCAAGATGAAGGTACTTGCAGTGAAGTTGACTAGATAAATCAATACACCAACCAGCCGAGCTAAAACCTGGTTATTGGCAAAAAACACCAGTTAGTCCAAACCTACGAACCATGCAGCGGCCGTCGAGTGTGGCTTGGCTTTCTTTCATTTAGGAATTTCAAAAAAAGTTTGAAATATGAGAAACAAACAACCATATATGTAAAAAAAAAAAACAAAATGTCACCGAATTTGCGTGCAAAATGAAAAAAACCTTGGTGCGAGAGGGACAGGTTTGATCCCCCGTGATCCACAAAACATTTTGTTTTTGTTTGCATTTTGTTTGGACATGCCACTAGTGTACACACAAACGGGAGTGAGCAGGTCTACTGGTAGAGCGCAGGACTTCAGACTTGAGGTTCCGGGTCCGAGTCCCACCAAAAGCCGGTGAATTTTATCTAAATGATAATGCCTAGCCTGAAGTAATGTGAAAGAGCCTAGCATCCTAGTAAAAGAGAAAATGTAGCCACAAAAAAATGTTTAATGCTAAAAACTGTTTAAACATGTTTTTCAAAGATAAACACCAAAGCCACACTTCCCAGCCTTCTTTAGTCTATACAACGAACCACATATTGTACACATAATACAATACAATTTACAAATACCATTAGTTTCACCTTGGATTAAACGTCCCTTACACATCCGCCATCCAATGGATTACAGTAGACTCCCTCTTATCCGGGACCCTCGGGACCGAGGCCAGTCCGGATAACAGTTTTTCCGGTTAAACCGACGTCTCCAAAAACTCGTTAAAACGGACCGTTTACTGTGATATTCAACTTCAATTTTAGAGAGCATTGTATTTAGTCACGTGATTCCTGGTCTCAATTCTTTCCCACGAGAATAGTCGTTTCAGTACCGCCCACTTCCTGCCGATCTAGTCTGGTTAAACCAATGTGCTGATAAAAATTGTCCGGTTAAAGAGATGTCATTTCCGCCGAATGTAGTCCGGTTAAACAGATGTCCGGTTAAAAGGTGTCCGGATAAGAGGGAGTCCACTGTAATGGAGGACCATTTTAAAAGTGTGTTTCTATTCAGGGATGTAGAGGGTGTTTTTTTGGTTAACTATTTAATTAATTTTACTTAATCAACTGCAAAACTTAATTTTTTTACTCAACGCAACATTCTACTTGTAAACTATTGTTTTTCCTCCTGATATTTTTAAGAGTAAAGCTATACTGTAAGATATGTCCTAAAATAAGAAAAGAGATTTGGTTGACACCATCACACACAAGCTAAAACACACATCAAAATGGACTTAAGATTTTGCAATAGAATGAGGAGTCTACTCTCAGTGTCAAAATTCACCAGTTTCAATTATTGACCATAACTTGGTATCATCAGCTAACATAAAATTTGTATATCCTAAACCATAAAAAATTTAAGATTTCCTTCAACACCCAATGAACCTTAATAATATGCAAAATAACATTTTGAACCTCCAGTTACATAAGTTGAAACTTTATTAAAGCTTTGAAATTTATTTGCTCTATCAAAATATTATACTTGGGATTATGACTATCAGTGACTTTCAATTACTACTGATTATGGATTCAATTGATTAAAGCTCTATTTCAAAATATAATTTATGCAAACGCAAACTGAATAAACATGAAAAGTGCATATGGATTATTATCTAGCAAGACTGTTAGGTATTCTTTTGAACTGGAAGAAAATACGTCTAAATAGCTGTACAAGAGCTGCATGTCACATGCAAGTAAACTGTTAAACATGCAATTAAAAACCCATCCCAGTGTGTTAGTAAAGATAATCATGCAAAAACTTTGGTAACAGTCAAACAATCTGTTGCCAGGTTCAGTCAGTATGTCGTCTTACAGTCAATGGTAACAGCAAGCAGTAGAGTAAATCTAATTACCATGTGTAAATGTCCAGCAGTAGGAGTTCCAGCTAGATAAATATAAAACTAAAATATCTTAATATTATTAAATTTACACAATCAGTTTGAATTAAAATACAAAATTATAAAGCAATAAAAAACTTTTGCCACAGTAAACCTGCAGAATAAGCGAATATCAATTTGTCCAATTGATTTTTTACTAAAATATTTCCATAAATAAACAAGTTACATTTATTCCCATAAAATAACATTAGATTTAACAATTTTGCTACTATGAGACAATAGACAAGAGAAAGCTTTATTGTACATGACACCTGTACAATAATTACAAAAGTAATTCCCAAGCTGGTACATGGTCAATTTATAACTAATTTTTATCTAGGTTCTCTAATTATACCCTAACAAGAGTAAAAACTATAAAAATTTATCTTAAAAAAGTCTGAATTTTCTAATATGCTTTCTGGCTCAAAGTCTCTTTCAGCTTATATGTAAAATTTGATTTTGATAAAGTTCTGTATGAATTAGGTAAATGATTGTAGATTTTTAATCTCATGTAGAGGCCCAGTTTCAAATTTTGTGTGCAAAGGTTTGGGATTTTGAAATTTTTTTATTATTTCTCGTTTGATAGTTATTTTATATTTTTCATAAAAGAAAGGATTTGCATGAACATACTTTGCTATTTCAAATATATAAAGAGATGGTAATGTTAAAATGGAACGTTTTTTGAAAAAAGGTTAACAGTTTTTTTAGACATCTGGTGAAAAATAGTTCTGAGAATTGACTTTTGGCAAGTGAACACTTTCTTGGCCTCTGCAGAGTTACCTCATAGAGTGATGCCATAAGCCAGCAAAGAGTGAACATGATATACTGTCAAGCAGACTTCTAGCGGCGTGACCTTGGATAGTACACTCAGTGAATACCTTGTTGACCATAATTTTTTATTTAGAGGAAGGGAATATTGTTTTTTGATCGTTATATTACAATCAAGATGTCTGTAAATTCTCATTAGTTATAAACTACAATTGTTTCAAGTTTATAGGGTAAACTTTTCAAACCTAATGTTAGTAGCTAAAACTTGTTTTTGTGCATCTAAAACTTTCTAAGATTTGTGCGGTGAGCCTTGAAGAAAACGTGAAAAGAACTTGAAAGCAGTGCAAGTGAAAATGTCTTAAATGAAATTATATCAAGAGTCTTGGTATTCAAGCAAAAAGTAGAAAAAATTTGCTTCAGTGCATATGGAAGAAATATTTACCATTCCTGTTATCTATGTTATACACAAGTTCTGTAAAAAAAATGTGATTTTGTGAGCTAGGAAACTCTTAGAAAAAACCTTTTTGGTAATTATGCTACCAAATTATATATTACTTAAATATTCCATACCATTCATAGTATTGAACATAAATATTTTACTGGAGGTTTCTATTTGTAAAAAAAATATACATAGGGAATTCTTAACTGTTTTAGTAACCGACTATTTTCCTGTTTTTTCATTACTCCATGAATGGTTTGAAAAATAAATTATAACATTTCCTAAACAATTTTCTTTTGGTCACTCATTTTTAGTATTACCTGCTGCGGTGTATGTTGCGAGACGTCGGCCTCGTGTTGGGTTGAGAGATCTCCGAGTCAGAACTGACTAGAGAGTGAGGCACGGCTCCGTGAGCAAAGTCTCTCCGATAGTTGTCTGAACATGATGAGCGAGGTGTGGACATTCCCCCTCCATCACCTACACTGCCTACACCTGACAACAGTTGTGTTAGAAACTGACAATATAACAGTCTCTAGCTAGAGTGAGGCACGGCTCCGTGAGCAAAGTCTCTCCGATAGTTGTCTGAACATGACGAGCGAGGTGTGGACATTCCCCCTCCATCACCTACACTGCCTACACCTGACAACAGTTGTGTTAGAAACTGACAATATAACAGTCTCTAGCTAGAGTGAGGCACGGCTCCGTGAGCAAAGTCTCTCCGATAGTTGTCTGAACATGACGAGCGAGGTGTGGACATTCCCCCTCCATCACCTACACTGCCTACACCTGACAACAGTTGTGTTAGAAACTGACAATATAACAGTCTCTAGCTAGAGTGAGGCACGGCTCCGTGAGCAAAGTCTCTCCGATAGTTGTCTGAACATGACGAGCGAGGTGTGGACATTCCCCCTCCATCACCTACACTGCCTACACCTGACAACAGTTGTGTTAGACACTGACAATATAACAGTCTCTAGCTAGAGTGAGGCACGGCTCCGTGAGCAAAGTCTCTCCGATAGTTGTCTGAACATGATGAGCGAGGTGTGGACATTCCCCCTCCATCACCTACACTGCCTACACCTGACAACAGTTGTGTTAGACACTGACAATATAACAGTCTCTAGCTAGAGTGAGGCACGGCTCCGTGAGCAAAGTCTCTCCGATAGTTGTCTGAACATGATGAGCGAGGTGTGGACATTCCCCCTCCATCACCTACACTGCCTACACCTGACAACAGTTGTGTTAGAAACGGACAATATAACAGTCTCTAGCTAGAGAGTGAGGCACGGTAACATGAGCAAAGTCTCTCCGATAGTTGTCTGAACATGATGAGCGAGGTGTGGACATTCCCCCTCCATCACCTACACTGCCTACACCTGACAACAGTTGTGTTAGAAACTGACAATATAACAGTCTCTAGCTAGAGTGAGGCACGGCTCCGTGAGCAAAGTCTCTCCGATAGTTGTCTGAACATGACGAGCGAGGTGTGGACATTCCCCCTCCATCACCTACACTGCCTACACCTGACAACAGTTGTGTTAGAAACTGACAATATAACAGTCTCTAGCTAGAGTGAGGCACGGCTCCGTGAGCAAAGTCTCTCCGATAGTTGTCTGAACATGACGAGCGAGGTGTGGACATTCCCCCTCCATCACCTACACTGCCTACACCTGACAACAGTTGTGTTAGACACTGACAATATAACAGTCTCTAGCTAGAGTGAGGCACGGCTCCGTGAGCAAAGTCTCTCCGATAGTTGTCTGAACATGATGAGCGAGGTGTGGACATTCCCCCTCCATCACCTACACTGCCTACACCTGACAACAGTTGTGTTAGACACTGACAATATAACAGTCTCTAGCTAGAGTGAGGCACGGCTCCGTGAGCAAAGTCTCTCCGATAGTTGTCTGAACATGATGAGCGAGGTGTGGACATTCCCCCTCCATCACCTACACTGCCTACACCTGACAACAGTTGTGTTAGAAACGGACAATATAACAGTCTCTAGCTAGAGAGTGAGGCACGGTAACATGAGCAAAGTCTCTCCGATAGTTGTCTGAACATGATGAGCGAGGTGTGGACATTCCCCCTCCATCACCTACACTGCCTACACCTGACAACAGTTGTGTTAGAAACTGACAATATAACAGTCTCTAGCTAGAGTGAGGCACGGCTCCGTGAGCAAAGTCTCTCCGATAGTTGTCTGAACATGATGAGCGAGGTGTGGACATTCCCCCTCCATCACCTACACTGCCTACACCTGACAACAGTTGTGTTAGAAACTGACAATATAACAGTCTCTAGCTAGAGTGAGGCACGGCTCCGTGAGCAAAGTCTCTCCGATAGTTGTCTGAACATGACGAGCGAGGTGTGGACATTCCCCCTCCATCACCTACACTGCCTACACCTGACAACAGTTGTGTTAGGAACTGACAATATAACAGTCTCTAGCTAGAGAGTGAGGCACGGCTCCGTGAGCAAAGTCTCTCCGATAGTTGTCTGAACATGACGAGCGAGGTGTGGACATTCCCCCTCCATCACCTACACTGCCTACACCTGACAACAGTTGTGTTAGGAACTGACAATATAACAGTCTCTAGCTAGAGAGTGAGGCACGGCTCCGTGAGCAAAGTCTCTCCGATAGTTGTCTGAACATGACGAGCGAGGTGTGGACATTCCCCCTCCATCACCTACACTGCCTACACCTGACAACAGTTGTGTTAGGAACTGACAATATAACAGTCTCTAGCTAGAGAGTGAGGCACGGCTCCGTGAGCAAAGTCTCTCCGATAGTTGTCTGAACATGATGAGCGAGGTGTGGACATTCCCCCTCCATCACCTACACTGCCTACACCTGACAACAGTTGTGTTAGGAACTGACAATATAACAGTCTCTAGCTAGAGAGTGAGGCACGGCTCCGTGAGCAAAGTCTCTTCTATAGTTGTCTGAACATGACGAGCGAGGTGTGGACATTCCCCCTCCATCACCTACACTGCCTACACCTGACAACAGTTGTGTTAGACACTGACAAGATAACAGTCTCTAGCTAGAGAGTGAGGCACGGCTCCGTGAGCAAAGTCTCTCCGATAGTTGTCTGAACATGATGAGCGAGGTGTGGACATTCCCCCTCCATCACCTACACTGCCTACACCTGACAACAGTTGTGTTAGAATCTGACAATATAAACGTTTCTAGCTAGAGAGTGAGGCACGGCTCCGTGAGCAAAGTCTCTCCGATAGTTGTCTGAACATGATGAGCGAGGTGTGGACATTCCCCCTCCATCACCTACACTGCCTACACCTGTCAACAGTTGTGTTAGAATCTGACAATATAAACGTTTCTAGCTAGAGAGTGAGGCACGGCTCCGTGAGCAAAGTCTCTCCGATAGTTGTCTGAACATGATGAGCGAGGTGTGGACATTCCCCCTCCATCACCTACACTGCCTACACCTGACAACAGTTGTGTTAGACACTGACAATATAACAGTCTCTAGCTAGAGAGTGAGGCACGGCTCCGTGAGCAAAGTCTCTCCGATAGTTGTCTGAACATGACGAGCGAGGTGTGGACATTCCCCCTCCATCACCTACACTGCCTACACCTGACAACAGTTGTGTTAGACACTGACAAGATAACAGTCTCTAGCTAGAGAGTGAGGCACGGCTCCGTGAGCAAAGTCTCTCCGATAGTTGTCTGAACATGATGAGCGAGGTGTGGACATTCCCCCTCCATCACCTACACTGCCTACACCTGACAACAGTTGTGTTAGACACTGACAATATAACAGTCTCTAGCTAGAGGGGTGTGGACAGAGAAGAAAACATATCTCTTAGGAATAACCACAATTACTAGAAAAATACCGGTATGGATCATTAACATAAACAAATGACGTTATTGGCCCGAATCCTATACTAATAGCATTGAACATATGTTTTGACAGTTCCATTTAAGCAATGTTAAATAATGTTTATTTTCGTGCCAAAAACGCCATTTGTTTATTTTTATGATCCATACCGGTATTTTTCTAGTAATCGTGGGAATAACCAAAGAGGAGTAAAAATACTACACCAATAAAACTCATTGTAGTAAATTATGTTTTGAACTCTGCAGGTTTTTATACCTTATAAAAGTATTTCACAACAAAATATTCTTAAATTAACTAACCTTTTAAAATATTTTTGTATGGTAATGTTAACAATGGTTAGGAATAATTATCTTGTAATCCATGGACTAACCTGAACCACTGTTCGAGTGCAGGTGAGGCGCAACATAGACCTGTGTACTCTTTGGCATCTGGTAAACTACTTGCGGATGAACCGTTGACTTCTTAGGAACTTCCAACACTGGTTCTTCTTGATACCTGTAACAATAGGCAACCAAATTTCGAGGTGAGTATACAGGTGTACTATTAAATGAAAGGTCAAAAAGTTAACTTGTAAACTTTGTAACTTGTTTTAGGTGAGTCGGTGGCTGTCGGTAGCATCACAGACTTCAGGCTCAAGGCAGCGATGCCGCAAACATTTTATCAGTACTGTTCTCCTTTGCACTGTACCGGCTTACCCCTTGCTTTGCTTGATACGTTACACGCACGGGCAGATAGTCTATGAGGACGGGCAAATGCAAGCTTAAAAGAGCCTGCCAACCTCTTAAAAAAACTTTACTATACAAAATTTCTCCCCTACTGACATTACTGTGTCAATTAGAGTACCAAGCAGGATGTGCGCACAATCATTGCTTCCCCACCACCGAGTTATTTCATACAGTCATCCCACTTGTTAATTGTCATTGGATTAATGTAAAACCACTAGCGACTTAATAGTGTAACTCTCAGTGTTAGGAGCCTTTCCCCTCATCACATCCACATCTAATTTACATGATCTTCACCTGTGAGGTGTGAAGTCCCTGTAGTCATGTCTAGGTTGTCGGTATTCACTCAACACCTGCGTGGACGGAGGTGGTGGTGCGTCTTTCCCCTCTGGAGCGTCTCGTCCCTGCGTCAGACTGTACAACCTCAGCTGTTGACGGATATCTGCTTTCTCTCTCTCTCGCTTGCGTTGAAACTCCTCTTCGACCCTTCGCATTGCTTCTAGCTCATTGAGTCTCTGTCGCTCTGTAAAATGGCAAACGTTCTGAGCACTGGCACTCAAATGGTTACGTTACTTAGAGACTGAATTAAGCACAAGTACATTATGTTCAGTAATCAAAATAAAAATTTACAGAAACAGCTGAAAACTAAAACAGCAAAATTAATTTTAGACATTTAAATGGCAGTGTGACAATGATGGGTGGCACAAAGTTAAGCGTTAAGGCTGTTGATTGCTAGAAAATGCATACTACAATCAATCACTGAACCTACATTATAAATTATGTCCGCTAAAAGTATAAAGAAATGGACCCTAGTCCATCAGTTCTGTTCAAAGTGGTGGTATCGTTGCAAAATCGTTGTGAAAAAGAAGAAACAAAAAATTGGAACATTTTGCCAAACACAGTAGGATTGCAGTAGTTTGAAAAACATGCTGAATCAAAATAAATGTATAGGACCACAGAAAAGTAAGGTACAGACTCATTCAATAGTACACTTAAGTGGTGTCTAGCACTAGCCGCTGGTGTATAGGGCAAAGCCCAACACCATCCCCTCGCCCTCATGTACAACACTCATGGTGTAGGAAGACCCTTGTGCCCTGTGCGATAGGAATTTTCGCACAGTTCTCACCGCTCACTGTTCGGGCTTTTTCTCATCACAAGTATATTTCCGGTACAACATCCTAGAACTGAAAGCGCACGGTCGCTCCATAAGCAAGATTCCTCTGTACACTTCTCTGTGATTGGACCCATATTAGGCCTTAAAGTTAATTATACCACCTTGGCAAGTACTTTAGTTACATTATTACCTGAACTTTAAACGGTGAAAAGCATTTACAGAAATTTTAGTTATCCTAATGAAATGAAATGTGTTTATTGTCTTGTGAATTTATACAAATTATTGACAATGTCCGAAAAACTGCTAAAACTAGCATAGTCAATATACTAACTAAACTATAAACTAGCATGAATACAATATACAATATTTACAAGAATACTACACACAAGGAGACATGTTACAATACATACTTTAATATTACAACCAAATAATCTTATTGTTCAGAAAAATGCAAGGCATTTAGAATAATGAAAGTTATTAAACCCCATAACCAACTAAATCCAACAGTAATTTGATAAATTTGCTAGCTCCTACTTAAAAATTAATAAAAGGCATTTCAAAAAAATCTTTTAGAGAATAAAAAGGGTTGTTCAAAAGCCATTTGTAGAATTAATGACCTGCCCGCTGTTTATTTTGGTTAACAGAGATTCTAGAGTGTTTGCACCCAGGATTATACCTTTCTGCTCCGCCTCCTTGGACAGTTTCTCCGCCAGCCGCCGCCTCTCGATCTGCCGGATGGTGCTCTGGAAGGTGAACTTCTTGCGCCCCTTGGGCTCCATCGCTCGCAACACCCCTGGCGTTAGCTGACTGAGGTCCTCACAGGACTTGGAGAGCGAGAGAGCTGCCGGCGTCCTCTCTCTGTCCCTGCAACACCAGGAATTTTTATTCCATACTGTGGGGGAGACCTAGTGAATAAAAATACACTCTCTGCAGCAAACCTGCAGATTAGGTTCTATGTGCTTATTTGATTTTCACTAAAATATTTCTTTTGGTTTGCTGCTACAGGGAACCTAATAAAAATAATTTTATATAAAATGTTAATAGTTTAGTATGAAATAAATAAATTTTCCAAATTTGATAAAGTTATAACCATAAACAAGCAAACTACAACATTTTACCCAGCCTCCATTAAAAAACATGAGCATTTTTAACTTACAGTTTTTGGAATTTTTTCTGTGATCATTAAGTGCACAACAAAACTTCAATGTACCAAATTATTTCTTTTCTTGAGCTCTAAAAATGTTTTGGAAACAAATTGCTTACGTTGAGGTTTTAAAGTGCAAAAATGCCAACACATCCCCTTCCTTTTGGAGTGGAGTCTTTATCATATAGGTAAACCTTATATTTGAACACAAATCCTTACATAACAAATTTAAAGTTTTGTTCAAAAGTATAAATCAGCAACAGTCCTTTAAATAAGTTGATAAGATTATACTGTAAGTATCTAGAAATAATCTTGGATAAAGAAAGTAATAAATAATATTGATATTGCTTTTCTGAGTTGTTCACCCAATAAATCTACTCTGTAGGTTTGTGGAAACTAACCTGTGAGACCGGGGGGTAGAGTACTCTGGCAGGTACATGACGTGTCCTCCGGTCGCCAGGTATGAGAACGAAGGCTGCTTTACCACAGACAACTCCTCTTCCTGTACAACAGACAACGGTAAACACCTGGTTAAAGATCTCAGAGGCTTTGTAATGTAAGCCGTAAATGAATGACTGAATGAATGAACCTGACTCCAGCTGATTTGACCAGACTCCAGCTGATTTTAACCGACTCCCAGCTAATTTTACAGGATTCCAGCTGACTTTACAAGACTCCAGCTGATTTTAACCGGCTCCAGCTGATTTTACAGGATTTCAGATGACTTTACAAGACTCCAGCTGATTTAACCGACTCCAGCTGATTTTACAGGACTCCAAAGCCTACCTGGTCAGGAGACGAGGGACTAGAGGAGCTCCACCTCTGCAAGCTAGTGTTGAGAGAGTTAGGAACACTACGGCTCAACACCCAGTTGTTGTCTAGAGGTAGACTACTAGCACCAGTCTCCTTGGTGCCACAGCGACTTAGAGCCAACGCGCCTGACATTGACCTCTTCAGCTTCTTCAGGCTTTGGAAACTGTCTTCTTCTTTTGTCTGTAAAGGATTAAAAGAAATGTGATTATTTTGATGAAAGATAATGGGTGTGCAAAACTAAACAGGAGGATTTTCAGTTTGCCTTGAGTACATCAGCTGTTAATAACCAAGAATGGAAAGAGGTCCAAGTTTTGCCTAGGCTACTTGATAACTGTGATAGACTTGTTTAGCATTTTGTGTGTCAGAGATAGATCAAGCTCATAAGCGTTGTGACTACTCAACGCAAGTTATTGCACCTCTACGTTGTTCTGCATATTGGTAATTAATTACAGTAGAGTCCCGCAAACTCAGCACTAGATAACTCGGCCATCACCTGGATCAGAAAATTAGTGATTTTTTGAGTCCGAGTTAAACATGGACACAAGCCAGCTCAAGTATAATCATTTGCAACTCGTACTAAGGATTTGTTGTACTATATCTTAATACTGACTTAATACTGACTTGTAATATAAATCTAATTAAAAAAGGCGATTAAAAAGCTGAAAAATTGTATTGCTCTTATTTTTAACTTTAGTTCTTGATAACCTGGCATTTCAAAAACTCTGCACCCTTCCAGTCCACATTACGCCGAGTTTTCGGGACTCTACTGTACATTGATTAGCTGCAACAGCTCTGCTTCAAACAAACTCTGGCACTGAAACCATTTTTCATAGGTTGGTAATAGTTATTTAATAAACAAGTCTGTAACACAGTTAATCAAGTATTCAATGCAAAAGATAACCATATAAAAAAATAAACAAGCTCTTTCCATTGTTGGAATCATCAGCTTATTGCACCATTATTTTTTAAACATCCAGTAAAATGAAAATTACTTAAGAAAAATGAATGCAGTAAGATAGTTATGGAAAAGAATAGATCAGGTGCAGAAAATTTAAACAAGCTTAAGATGTGGGGTATAAAATGATGAAGAATATAGCTACAGAGTGCTAGATCAGTGGTCAAAAGAAATGAGAAGTTAGGGGATATCTTATGTATTGAAAATATTGGTAAAATATTGGCAGGTTTGCTGGTAAGTTGGCAATAGTGGTTATAGTGCTCGTCATAAAATCTGAAGGTTACTATGATTTTAAGAGACATCGCTGCTATACCCAGATGCCATTTGTCATTGATCTATCAATTAACGAGGCTATCTAAAAAAAACCTCGACAAGACTAGATTTTGAACTGTTCCCTTACAAAAACCCAATGGTATCGAAACACAAAAAATAAAAAATAAACACCTTGTCTGTCTGTGTGTAGACGGCCAGCCGATCATCCCTCGGGAGGGACAGGGAGAAGCGAGGGGAGAACTTGGCGAGCGGTAAACTCTCAGGGGAGAGGGGGGCGGACTCCAACCCTCCGTCTGAACTGGTCTCCTCCAGATCTTGCTGAGGAGTCCACGCAGCCTGCAAAACATATGAAATGAACAATTATTTATCTAGACAGGTAAAGTAGGGCCACATAGCCCTTTCTAACACTTAACCTGTACGTAAATATAACAAACCAAGCATTGCAAAATTTTGATATTACATACGATTGTATTAACCTTTAAATATAGCATTCAAAATTGTAAACATAACTCCACAGATACAGAAGTCTTGATAATCTGACCTAAGTCGGCGGCAGAAAGACCAAATAACACAGAAAAAATGTTTAAAAACCAATGTAAATATTACAAACCACCGAAACCACAAACAAAGTAATGACACCACTATTAGAGCTTATTACAGCTCGGAAAAATGGTTCCATGGGTCAAAATTCAATTAAAGAGAAAATTCCCTTAATTTGGTTTTGGCTGTTTACTTCTGGCATACCCTGTACAAAGAAGTGTGATTCATGTCCACTCACCCAATCAATGACAAAAACCTGATTCATATTGTACATGGGACATGAATGTGTCAAAATGTCAAATCCGTATTGAAATTGAAAATTCTTTATTGCTCAATGCAGTATACATTAATTGTTGATGTAGTAGTATCAATCAAAATAGTATAGGGACATAATTATGAATACAGTATTTCTTCAAATAAATGACTATATACCTAAACAGAAATTATATTTTTTGACCGTATATACAAAAACAAAGACAAAACATCTAACAGCATAATAATAAAACATATTAATCAGCATGGTTTGATTTACTGACTAGGTGCAAAAATCCTTTGAGTTTTTGGGCTAAGCTCGACTCGGCTCAAAAATTGCACACATGCACTCTTGACTTTAAGGTCAATATCCAGAACAAGTTTTAGAATACTACTAAATTGTTTGATATAGCATTGGTTTATAACTGTAGCCAATTGTTCTCCAAGTTACCCTTATGTGTGGGGAATAGTGTGTAGAGTCCTGATGTTGAGGGCTAGCATCCCCGCTGATGCCACTGTCTCCGCTCTTATCGCCCCGCCGAGGTGTCGGGGGCATGATCAGCTCATCCTCCGCCTCACCCTCACCTCCATCACTAGGCGGGGGCGACTCAAGAGCTGCCAGTAGCCTCCACGCAGCTGTGGGGGAGAAGCGGGGAATCTCCAGCTGTTTGCGGGGCAGGATGGGGCGCAACTGTAGGGAGATCTGCGGACTGCTCTGTAAACAAACATCATCGTCGAAATGTCTCTGATACTTCTTTACAAATGTTAAAAAGGTTTCTGACTTTCAGATAAAATTTACTTATTGAGATTCCAGAGGACTACCATTCTCAAAGAACTTATCAAAGGTTACGAAATTTACAAAATAAAAGCTTTTAAGATAAGATACAAAGTAAAATGTTTGGTTTTAGAAAATCCTATACAGTGTCTGTTAGTACAAACATTTGTAATATGATTGTGTTTTATATTTAAAAGGAATGCCTATCGGCTGGTAAGGAATTTTCTGAAAAAGAATAGAGTACAGCTAGTTAACCTGAGAAAATTAGAGCCCAGGGGCTAATTTCTTGTCTCTTCGACCTACTTTCTGAAGAAGTCTTACATCAGGACGAAAATATCTGTGTTGCATTTTGTGTTCTTTTATTGTGTAGGCCTATCTATTACCCACTGGACTTTCATTTTCTCAGATATGCTAGCTGAACTCTACTCCTAAAAAAATCTGTGCTTATGTTTTAGTTAAATGTGTCAAAAAGCTTGAATATCATTACTCAGCCTAAATTCTATTCCTACCCTAAGTTTAAGGATGTAACATAAACCAAAGTGCCTAGGTTAGCTTTCTCTTTACAGCCACCATTAAAAGACATTTCTCTTCCCAACTCAAAAATTTCTCGGTTGAAAATAACATCAGCTATTATTGACAACGAAATATCCGATTTAATGATTGTTGTATTTCCTGTCCTAGAGAGCACATTTTCGTATTCAGATAAACCTGATATCCTCACATGAATTCCTTTTGCTCTAAGTTACATCCTATAAGTTTGTAGTTAGTTACTCACTTCCTCGCCCACAGGGTCGTTGCTGCTGAGACTGTCGCTGCCTGAGGTGTTGTGAGTGACCAGGGGTGGAGGTTGGGTAGGGTTGGACGGAATCCTACGTTGTATACTGGCGGCGAACCTGTCTACCTGTACAACACAACCATACAATGCAGCTTACCAATAATCATTGTCTTACAAACCCCTGTGTACGATTGCTTGATTTGAACGTTGCAATGGATTCCTTATCATAGTTAGAATGTACAGTAGTCAACCTATCTAGAAGGCGAGGGGAAGACAGAATGAAGAGAAGGTTCTCATGCTCAGGAGTCTATGCCATAACTAGATATGTATCCTTTTCTTAGCAAGACATAAAAGTAAAATACTAAGACAATTCAAGGTTTTCCATGTTTAAAGTTCAAAATTTACCATTTTAAAATGAAACTAAGTTATTAGTATTTACTTGTAAATAAAAATAATTTAAAAAATTATAAAAATAGAGAGAGGAGAGAATGTTTATTTCACAAACTTTTCATACATGCTTCATATGTTTTGGTTTGGGCCATTGTCACTGTTTAAGGCATTCATTACTCATTAGTGATAGTTAGGTACAGGAATTTCTAATCTCCCAAAACGGCAACATCATGATCGACTCTTGCATCACAACTTTCATAGCACAGAGATGTTAAAAGAGAATCTAAGGAAAACTATTGATCAATTAATACTTAGCCTATCAGGGATGGTTTCAAAATTTACTGGAAGTAGAGATAACAATCAGAAAAGATAATCTTATCTTTACTAACCTCAGGATTGTCCTCGGAGCCTGCTCCTGAGCTTGTGTTTTGAAGCTCGTCTTCGTTCATGCCAAAGTAGAAAGTCTTCACAGGAGCAGTCGGCTTGGTTGTTGGAGTGCTGTAATACAAACTAAGCTTAAGGTTGCATTTAGAACTAGGAATCTCATTGACATTCATGCATAGGGTTTTAAATTTTTGGTTGGGGTGTTTACAGACCAATTGATTGGACCACAAGGCGACAATCAGGAATATAAACCTTTTTATTTGTCTGACTTGATCACAGCACTAGTCCCCAAACACTTTAGAATGTGACTTAACTATCTTCAGGGAAAATATCAAAATGAAAGCAGTCTAGATCTAAACTCCTGCCAGGTTGTGCTGATTTAATTTTACCCCAATTCAATTTATCTAGTCATGCGTGTTACGTGTTTATGTTTTAAGTGAGTGAAAAAGATTACATCAAGCTTCCAACGATCAAAGTTATTCATTCTTTTGATTCCTTCCAAGATAGTGTACCAGAGCTAGGTGTCATTGCAATCACATTCAATCAATCAATCAATCAATAAATCTTTATTCAATACATACAACAAGTGTACATGAATGTGTCATCAACCTAAAACTACTTCACATGATTTCACCTACTTCCCTACTTGCTTAGTCATACAGTTTTTTTGTTACAGTGTTCAAAACTTTCCAAACTATAAAATTCGCTATAAATTAAAAACCCCTTAAGTTTATTTTTGAATTTATTTACGCTACTTTTGTTTCTAATACTGCTGGGGAGGGAATGCATGAATTTGATTCCAATATAATTAGGACTCTCCTTAAATTTTTCTTTTTTATGTTTTTTAGTTATGAAGTTTAGTTTGTTTCTAGTGTTATAATTATGTACGTCTTTCTGTCTTTGAAGTTCTTATTCATGATTTTTAACATACATTATCGTCTTATAAATATAGAGACTGAAAACGGTAAAGAACTCTAATTCTTTAAAATGATTTTTACAGGATTCTTTTATATCGAGATTAAGGATACACCTAATGGCTTCTTTTTGTAAATGTAAAATTTTGTTTAAATTTAATTTACTTGTTCCTCCATAAATTTCTATACCGTAAGAAATATGTGAGTGAATAGTAGCAAAGTAAACCTTTCTTAAGATTTCTCTGTTGCATAATGGATATAAGCGTCTAATAGCAAAAATACTTGAGCTGATTTTATTACATAAGTTGTCAACATGTGAGGTCCAATTAAGTGTGCTATTTAAGGTGAGGCCTAAAAATTTAGTTTCATAAACAAAATTGTTAAACAGTTCTTTATTCTACTTCTTACTTCTTATTCTACTGATAACACAGGTGATCCAATATTAAACCATTTGAAAGTTGAATCTTGGTATTTGGGAGAGGACCACATTGTTGAATTGGCGAAAATAATGGCCAAAGTTTTGGATGGTGCCTTGAAGATGGATTAAAGCAATGCCTTTCAAACTTCAACCAATATTTTCACTAATTTAACAACGCCGTCATCTCACATAGACCAAAAGTTTAGATTGGCTGTTGAAGCACTTCTAGGTAATATATTGATCCACCATTGAAAAACCAATTAATTGCAACTATCTGTTGTAGATGAAATCAAGAAAACAACATGTTTTTAAGACAGCAGTGTCTGTTGCTACTTACATCTCCGGCCAGTTCTTGTCGTGGTTGTGTCGTCTGCTAGGAGGAGGTTCAGGCGTAGACTCCTGAGCGGGAGAACCCTCTCCCCTCCCTCTCCTCTCCCCGCCACCGTCTCCTCTTAACCTCTGGATCGGTTGACTCCTTCCTCTGGACAGGAGCTCATCCTGCTGGATCAATGTAGGTCAATAACTTCTGGTATACTCTTCTCGAGAGGTAAAGTAGTTTTACTAGCCAGCAAACTCATGTTTATGATTAGTGAAAACCAATCTTTCGATGTTTTAGGAGATTAAAAATCACTTTTACATAAGATATATGAAATGTGATAGAATTAGTTGATATGTCACAACTTAGATGTCTGTTTTATGGAGAACAATCCCCTTTAGGCACTAAAATCTGCTTAATAAGACAAAAATTATATTTGATTCATTTCAACTAGGCCTACCAACATATCAACTAACATCAGTTTTTTCTATATAGCCTCGATTACACAGGGCTTTTAGCGAGTATGGCATATTTAACTCCTGCTAATGACCAATTCCTCCAACATCATCTGGACTAAGCCTACTTGTTGCATATGCACAAGCAACTGTAAGAACACTTGGGTAGTTTTTTGATCAAGTTTGTTCAAAACCTGGTGAAGGACATCTAAAGCAGATGGTAGACAAAACTTTTTTCTAAATCATTTAAATGGATTTATCTGTTGTTAAGTGAGTAGGTTTCCCTTTATTTATGTACTAATTTATCCCTTAAAGTCATATTTTAGGATGAAATATCAGTGTTATGTTTTGTGATAGTTTATTTGTGTATCTATTAGGTCTGAACAGTGTTTTCTCAGGTCACCTAACTCTCCTGAACGCTACACATTTTCAAAAAATCCTATTTAAACAAAAAGGATTTCAAGGGCTGTAAAACGAATTTCCCTACCGTACCTTGGGTGTTCGTTGTGGGTTGTTTGACTTGTTCTCCTTGTTCGCAGGTTTGTTGTAGCTCTCCCGAGCTCTATGACCAAGGGGTGGACTGTCTGCGGCTTTACCAACCGGAGGTTCTCGAACAGGCCTCAGCTTCTCTGCTGCTTCTAGAAGTTCTGCCTGTGATCATAGATTGAACGTAACTCTAGGAAAATGTTAGCTTAGTGAATGTGTATAATGCTGGCTTCAGAACTAGTGCAACAAGAACAAACACAAAAACTCTCTCGGAATAATGTCAGACGTGATATCTGTCTAAGAAATCTAGACTACCTTGAGCTGTCCTAATTGAGGTAAAAGTGTCTCCAAGGTTCAAGAAGTACTTAGAAACTTGTATAGCCTAATTCCTAAACAGTAAGCTTAAATATTGAATTTTTTTTTCAAAAATAGTTAATATAAGTATTATATAGTTTATATTGATTTTTGAATGTTCCGAACAAATTGCTTATTTTTATATTGAATCCAATAAAAAATGATGGGGTAAATATTTACATTGTGCGAGCTCTCGCGTTGAGGCAATAGACTCTAGGGTTAAATGTTTTATGACAAATTTGTACGATCCATTTCAAACGCAGATTTTTTTCACATGCCTGTACACCTGATATTTCATAAAAAACAATACACTCCAACATCTAACTCGACTCACTGGGCTGATTATCTGGAACTGAGGGGAGGAGAGACTGCGCTGTAGAGGGCCTGGCGGGGGCGGAGGGTGATGGTGTGCCTCCCCCCGCCTTTTGCTACTCTCTGCCTTGGTCTTGAACAGCCTGAGTCGCCTGACGGGGGCAACCACCTCTGCCCCCGTCATCTCCCAGTGTTGATACGAGTCTGGTGATGAACTGTCCATCTGCAGAGCCAACAAAGCAATTCTTTAACAAATTCTATAAAACAAAACGTAAACGGATTGACGGGGAAATATAATAAACCCTCTGTTAACTGAACCCAGAACGTAAATCGGATTAACCGCCTCTGTTCGGCAAGGTTGGTTAATTCGTCCTAAATTTTAAAACTGGTCGTTTGACCTAAGTTTCCTACGAATCTTGGGAATTCTGTTTCCATCCTTTAACACATTAACACAAATAGAATTCTTTCCATGCAGGTCTAGTTTTGTTATGAACCACACAGAGAAACTCAAACAAAATACACCTACCGTTCATGTTCAACTATGTTTACTTAAGAATAAAGATTCTTGAATATGACTATTCTCTGGGTATTTTCATCTGCAAATTTTTCAAGTCCCTCCAAAATCAACTATATGCATTTTTACTCTAAAACTAGCCACAGTTTTTACATGGAAAAGTATAGTTCTATCCATTTGCCAAATCTCCGTGTATTTATTAATTAGGCTAAGGAAGTTACTTAACCGAGGACGGTATAATATACCAATTTTGTCATAAACACTATTTTTATTAATCGTGATGGATATATTTTCCGGTGATTCCCACTACAACTGTTACCATTGAGATACTGACCCCGTTGCTGTGTTGTGGTGCGGGAGGAGCCTTGTATTTCTTGCGGGACCGAGAGATGCGCAGTTTGGCAGGACTGTGGTTCTCGTACTCCCTCCCGGTGAATCGTAGGTCAGGCTCGCTGCCGTACAACACTTTGGTAGGCTCATAGTGGCTGCCTTGACTGGAACTGCGGGGACGCACCTGTGAAAATAAAAGTAAATCAGTCCTGGGTGTTTGAAATTCACATATTTATATCTTTGAGAAGTAACAGTTATTTTATTTGTTTTTACTAAGTCACCCTCTCTCTATATCAAAATTATTATTATTTAGCTTCAATAAAAATTTTTTAAATAGATTCCGGTTCTTTCTTTGATTCATGCTAAGCCCTCTCAAATCTCCCACCAGTCAAGAAAGTCCATTTGTTTGTGTGCTACCCATAACACACCTGGTGGCTTGTAAGCCTCTTTCACGCTTCTGATTGACAGACGAATTGCCAGAACCCTCTAAGAACCATTGTATTTTCAAGTGACGTGGTCGACGTGTAGTCCTATTTGGCATCCACGTGGAGTTAGTCGCAATATTCTTGTTTTGTCCGTTCCTATACACATCAGGCTCTTCTCAGGTAATTAATTGCCCATTTAATAGCTCGTCACCTCAAGTCTAGACCATAGCTTTTTATCTGGCCGTCTTTCCTTACAGTAAATAACCCCCCTTTTGTGTGAATACAAACTAACTTGTGATTCAGTGCTTTCAGCCAAGTGATACGACAACAATTTCAAAACAGTATCTGCACCTCTGTATGTCATTTTCAAGACATTCTGTTTCTTGTATAATGACTTCTACGTTTTAGTGAGCTCATATTTATCCATGATCTTGGATACGTTGCATTTTTTAATGGTTTCGCTTAAAAAAAGAAACAATCGGTCTATGATTGACGACGTTCCTGCCTTCCTCTGAACATACTTACTAATTAGATTCAAGGTAACAATTAAAGTTTTCATATGTGTCTCACTTAATTTGAACTATCATCACTGACCAGTTGCTAGACATTTTATATAACCCTAGGACCACTAAGTGCCCAATAAAATTTCATATCCACATGAATTAATTTATTTATTTAATTCTCTTGAACTGCCAAATTTGTTCTGGTTTGAGTTCATTTACTTAAAATTTCATCTTTTACTGGCCACCGGGTCTATATTTTAACTACAACTTTTGATAACTTAATGACAAAAGTTGTTCTGAAAATACTGATATGAATCAGAAAAACGCTGGGCTATTAAGAACATGTTTATTTATTTATTTAACAGTAGACCTACAGTTATATCATATTCCCTACATGGGAAATTTGCTAATACTTCATGTTAAACTTTTGAAAATTCACATCTGAGAAGGACCTATAATCTAATTTAAATCTAGCAATATCACTGTATACTTCTGTTACTCAGTATTTGTAAAACAATACAAAGGTGCAATAATTTAACCTACTAACTTAGTAAAGTTGAAGACTCCAATCCAAAATGGTATAAAATGGTAACTGGACCTAGTTGTCCTTGATCATTGGTCTTTTATGGTGTTGGCTAAATAAACGGCTGACCGTTGGTAGCAAAGCTAGAAAGGTTATCCAACTTTATTCTACACTGACATTGCATTTGTATTTCAGCTTCAAAAGTACAAAAATAATTGTCACTGTATTGAGAAAGTAATTAAGTTTATTCTTAAACTTTTTTTTATACCTCTCGGTTTTAGTCTGAAGTTTTTTTCAAAATTACTTCATGTTAGGTCCAGAGGGGATGGCGTTATTACTTAGACAAAATCCATTGGTGATTGACAGTATTTGAACCCACGACCTCCGAGACCGAAGTAATATACTCTACCACATGACTAACATCGCTTCCATACGACCTTACTGTGAAGAGTGAAAATAGCGGTTGAACACTCATCTCAAATATCTAAAATCCATCATTATGTATATACATTCAGTAATTCATTATTACCACTTATTTTACAATTTGTTTACTAAACTGTCATTTTCTTACTGTAAGTACTACCATAGGGAAATAATTACTTCTCAGTGTTACCAAAGATATGCCTAACACTATCAAATATCACATGTCAACACTTCTGAACTTCTCGTAACCAAAAATGTAATGAATTCCATTGAGAAATAAAGGAAGTGTGATGGTGTGAACCGTTGATATGTGTTATATAAAGTGGAGTTAATGGTATTCCGAGCACAGGAGTGTTTCAATAATCAGCTGACGTAATGTTAACGAACAGCTGAGAGGTGAAAGTTGGTAGTTGGCTGTGCTCCAGGCATACCAATCTCTGCATCCGACCAGAACATGTGTGCCAACTGCCAACTGCATCTCCTCTGACTACATTCTTGTAACCCACGGAATGTTATGGATATTGATTTCAAATAAACAGTATCTTTGTCCCAGCTTGTCAACAACCCTTCTCATGGGCAATTGGTGGGAGTAACTATGATATTTTATGGGGAAAGTCTCAAAAGTTGCAATAATTTTGGAATCCTAATGTTTATAGAATTGGGGGTTATACTAATTTGTTTAGAATGAAAAGGATCATAACATATTAATTTATGATAAAAATTATTTGAGCTTGTTTTTGTAAAAAAAATTTTATGGGTTTTTTTTTATTATCATTAAAAATAAATTTCCAAAATAAAATAAAACACCTGGAGATACCATGGATAGTACCAACATACCAAATTTAATCAAAATCGAACATGGCTTTCATCCCAAGGATTATTATTCATCATATTACCATTATTATTGTGTACTGGAATCTTTGGAAAAGTTGAACTGGTAGATTTTTTTTTTCCTAGGATGCTAGGCATGAGCCCGGGATTGTTTTTCACATTACTTCAGGCTAGACCCAGGGGTTGTGGTATTATAACTTAAAATCCATTGGTGATTTGGCGGAATTTATACCCGGGACCTCAGGGACCGAAGTCCTGCGCTCTACTACTAGACCAGCTCGCTTCCCCTGACCTGGTGAGTGAAACCATTGTTTTAACAACCAGTTTGGCAGTGGAATGTATATCACGTTTTACAACTACTAGTTGGCATGTTATGTTTTGCCAAGGTAATAGTTAGTTAGGTCAAGTTCGCCAGATGGTTAGCAGGTTCGTCGTATATTGCCAGATTGTTGGCAGATTTAGTTGTATATTACCAGAAATGTTTGGCACATTTGTTTGATTTGGTGGTTGGTATGTCCCATATTAGCTGGTGGTTGATATATTAAGTTTACCAGCTGGTTGTCATGTGTTACCTGATGGTTGACATGTTTACGCCCAGTCAGAGTTCCGCCGCTGTGTAGGATGTTTCCGTTGTGAGTTAGTCTCAACCGCTGCCCTGGCACCCTCTCAGGCAACACCTGTGACAAACATACCTCGGTCAAACAGGCATTTAGAATATTCATTTGAATCCCCATCTACGGCAAACTCAATCAAAATAGTTTTAGCTCACTATTATATAACTAGCTGAGCAGTTATAGTGCTAAGAAACTCAAAAAGTCACTGGTTGATCTTGAGCAAAAGTTTAGAAAAGAAACAGTTTGTGGTGGATAGGACACTTCATTGAGTGTGTGTGTGAGTTGGGTCTCACAGGTAGGACTGAGCTACAACCAAATCTTATATATACTCAGTAACAAAGCTACACAATGCATCTCACTGCATTCTACACTCATCCTTCACTCATCGAGTTAAAATACCGTACACCTTCCCTTCTTAACTGGTAATAATAATTCATGGAGGTAATTAAGTGACTTGGTTGACCTTTGGTTTAAAATGTCTAGCCACATGCACTGTGTGTTTCTCAACCTTCTTTTCTGATTTACCACTCGATGGACAAAAATATTTCACATAATCTAATTTACCTAATCTAAATAACCAATTTTCCAGCTACGAGTTACTACGAGTAAATTGTTTAAAATCCATTAGTGATTGGCGGGATTTGAACCCATGACCTATGAATGGACTACTACATTCGCCAATAGTACTATGCGTAACACAAGTTGAGAAACACTACTGCATGACATTAGTATGTGTAATCAACTTAAATGTAACCATATTAACTATAGTCTGTGTAATGGAACCTGGAACGATGGAGGTTCAGGAGACAGGTTCCATCATATAAACTATAGTGAGCATGTAGCCTATGCTTCACCTTATGGGCAGGGCGAGGATAAGAGTGTGCCCAGCCCCGCCTAGTGTCCCCGCCCGTCCCCGCCTGAGAGCCAGAGTTGCCCATCTGCCCCCGCCAACATCAGTCGACCATCCTGCAACAACACACAAGTCAAGTCACACACACATCATAAACATTCAAGGAAATAGCACTAGAATTGGATTTATAGAAAGAAAGAAGAAATGGACAACACTGACTTGCCCAAGAAAAGAGGTCCAAGCAGTTGACAACAAATAAAAGTTCACACAATTAATTTGATAATCCGTCCCTACTGGAGGGCTTCTTCAGAAAGAAGGAGAATCCTTTCTCATACTTTTACTTTTAAGTACTTTATACAGTACTTTAAATATTTCCTTCTCGTAAAGTTATTTGTGTATAGATTCCTTCTTTCTTAATCATAGACTAATAAACAGGTGTTGAATGTTAACCAATTGACTTTCTGATACTGAAGTATACACCAGCTGTATCCAATTGTTTATCTCAATGGAAGATACAACGATACAACCTAAGATTTTATGTGAAATAAAAGTTGCTATTGTTTACATTAAGCTGTCCCTAAACTAGGTTTGGTAAAAAATGTGCATATTCAAAAGAAATCCGTATTTGATAGCGGTGGATCATTCATTGTATCAAACTAGCAAAATATTTAACATGAAAATATGATGTATACTACCATAGACAAAAACAATTAAATATAGACTGTGAGCCGTGCTGCGGTTACCATGGCTACCATAGGTTCTGGCGCGCACCGCTGGGAGTGCCTTGAGTTATGTAGCACGTACGTAACTACATGGCGCTCCCAGCAGTGTGCGGCAGAACCTATGGTAACCGCAGCACAGCTGACAGTCTATATTTAATTCTTTTTGTCTATGATACAACTATAAGAAGTTAAAAGCAAAACTTCCATTTCAAACAAGACAAAATACGTTATAACAATCCACACTCATCAGGTACTATAGTTTACCACCAAACTGACAGTGAGACTAGTAATGGTATGTAAGAAGGCCACCATTTCCCTTCAATCTGCAAGGTTCATAACATAACGGAAGACGTGTACTTGGGAGATAGTAATACAACCTTCTTATAACCTCAGCAATCTCACATGCCATAGCAGAGGTATTCAGGGCCATCCTTGTGCATAAAAAGGTGTATTGATTGAGGAAGAACAATGGTTCAAATGCTAGGACTAATTAATACATTAATTTGTATTTATGAAATCCGTTAACATTGGTTCTTTATTATCATAAGATACAGTCGCGAGACAATCCCTGGAATGGAATCCACAAGGAAACAGAAGAAGAGGTGGACCAAGAGGCAAGAACCACGTGGAGGCGGACTTTACAGAGTCAGGGCATGGGCTAGGGCAAAGGAGCTGGCCAACCATAGGGACGCTGGAGAGTGTTGTTGGGGCCCTATGCTCCCCCCTAGGAGCGCAAGGAAATATGTCAAGTCTTTAGGGGCTCATCAATAGCACAATGGCATGTGTTGTTAAATATAAATATCTTACAAATAAAAAAATCCATGGATCTTAAGTCTCCAGTCAGCTACACTACAAAGTTTGAAATTGGATTTGTCTTACAAGAAAAACTTTATGAAAATTCAAACATAAGAGCTATAATATTGAAAAAGATAAGATTTTCAATTCCTCCTTACAATACTCCCAAACTCTTTGAAGACATCAATCCATTTTCCTGTTCTTAAATCAACTGAGGAGAATTTCAGAAGTAGGATACATACTAATAACTTGTGAATAGAATACGATATAAAAAAGTGTTTTCCATTTAATGTACATGCTGTTACATTTTTTTAATTCATCAAAATTACTGATTTGGTTTCAGCTATAGAAAAAAAAATAAAAATAAAAAACTAGAAAACAATACAAATTACTGTATTGTCTTCCACTAAATCTTAGACTAAAGATCAAAACTCGTTCAACGTTCACCGATTCATTCGTACATGGCAAACACATGTACACATGGCAAAGTTTACATTCACATCCATGAACCACGAGGGTTTCCATCCAGTTGCCGCCCGGGGCGTCAACAAACGCGGGGGCGGGAGAGAGGGCGCCAAATTCCAGCAAAGGTTACGCCCGAAACTCGACCCGCGTCTTGCCAAATGTAAGTGGATCTAGTCGTTGCACAACACATCCAAGGCCGGGGAGCGGCCGCATAGAGTATAAACCATAGAGTATTGAGTGACAGCGATGTATACTATATGATGTTCAGTCAAGGAACAGAAGCGTGGGGTAGTGTACTAACGACTACATTACGGAGTTACATCAAGACCGATAGGGAAGAGACAAGTAGAGTTATAGATAAACATATGTTTATAGAGTATAAACCATAGAGTAATGAATGACAGCGATTTATACTATATACAGTTCTGCCAAGACCGCAAAGGAAGAAAGACGTGGAGTGATTAAGAACGACAAATCTTTCCAAGTGTTTTGTTTAATCATTCTGTTGAATATGTTTCCTTGCGTCACTTTCAGGTGGATTGATTTTCCAACGGAAGCCATTCAAGACGGGGTTAAGTTTACCGATCACCCTCTTGGGGTTAGTTAAATGTAAATCTCACGAGCTTAAGTCTTTGAAGTGCACTAAGAGTTGGAAGTGACACATAGTTTCCATACCATATTGTCCTTCTTCAGTGGTAAAACTAGTCTTCTTTTTCAACAGCAATCATAAAGGAATGAGCTTGAATCACATACTGGCATGTCGGAAACTAAGTACAGTAGTTGAAAAACTTGACTTTTCAACATCAAAGAAAGGATTCAATGTTGAATTTCACACGAATTGAATACTTCATGACGCATACTTTCAGCGCGATGCAGCAGCTGTTGCACACGCCGTTACTTTTGACGTTTGCAAATTTGGCGCAGAAAACAAGCAATTTACCCGCGGAAATTGACGGAACGTTGTGTGTCTCCGAAACTGTCTAGTAACCATAACCTTGATGCAGCTTAACTAGAGGATAAACGACGACCTAGTTGCGATAGTTAGAGGTTAATAGGGATAGTACATGTCACTATCGGTGATCGAAATCGAGCACGGTGAAACGTCGTAAAAGAACTTGCCACTTAGACGAACTTGTCAACAACTTTCACATAGCTGCCAATTTCTCACGTTAGACTTGTCATAGTTGAAATTATTTAATTTGATATACAGTACCTTAATTCGTAATTAACAAGGATGCAAAGAATGATTTTACAGCTTTGAAAGGCGTGAATTTTTACATGTCTTCCAATCACAACACTATTCTCTATGAGGAAATTGAGTCCAAAATCCATAACACGCCAAGCAACCAATTGTCAAAGATACGTCTTTAACTTCGAAATAAAAACCCTAACTGGGTCAATGTTGTGCGAGGGAAATCCTCAAAACTGATTTGCCATTGTCCAGTGTTTGAGGAAAAGAAACCACTCAATACCCATCTTGAATGGAAATCGCAGCTTGGGCAAAACAATGAGAAAAACTGGAACACTTTCGAGGGGAAAAAAATTATTTTGTTGTTCACCTATTGAAGAGAGTACTATATTAATTACTGGGAATCTATCCATTTCGCTTTATGAAAGGCATCAGAAGGAAATGTTATATTCTTTTCTTTTAGGTTTGTTGAGCTTCTTGTATCAGCTAGAATCTAAAATAACATCAAAATTGCTTGCTACCCAGCCATGTTTTGTACTGAAGTACAATCCATTCTACTTTTAGCCCCATGATCAAGACAACTTATGCTACATACTCGGCAGACTTTCTCTACCATCATATTTCGAAGATTTATTTAATTTGCCCTATGACCACTGATGATCTGACACACCCGGGTAGATGAGGCAAGGTCATACAGGTTTCACCTCGGTCACACAGATGATGAATCGCCCATCACTTTCCCGCAAGGAACGCCAATTCGCATATGCAAATATGCGAAGATATGCAAGATACGACTACAATACCATGAAGCCCTGATAACTTTTGATTTCTTGCTGAGAAGGCATTTCTTTCGCCGGGTTGATCTTACTTTCTCTCCCTACATGTAGTATATGGAGAAAGTATTGTTTTTGTTGACAGACATTTCAAGTGGAAACTCTAGTGCGTGTGCTGAAGGCGTGTACCAATCATGTGTTGAGACGCCGAGAAAATTTGTTGTGGAAATGTAAAAGGATCAATGATGAATGGGATTATAGCCTTGAAAATGGCCAGGATAAGCTGTTTTACATCCACACAGAACTGCTGTATTGGAGATAGCACTGCATAAGAAAATTGCAAAAGGTTTGCCCCCAATTGTACTAGGGAATAAAGTACATTAGGCTTAGTACATTTAAACTAGCGAATTGTGGGATTGCACGGAAGCATAAAGCCATGAGCCAAAGGGCTGAATTTACAGACTTGGTACCAACCTAACTAAAATGAATAGATAAACAAACAAAATTACAGCGTCTCGAATTTTTAGCAATATTGCTGTGCCACATCCACTGCTACATCCAATTTGCAGTGGTTTAAGCCCAACGATATGTTCCTGAGTCCAGTTTCGTCCAACATAATTTTTCATCCTTTCTGTTGACATAACCAACAAAGTTAGAATTATTGAACGGACTAACCACGTCCGACTCGAATAAGACATCACTTGGGCCCTAAGAACCCAAATTCAGGGGTTATACACAGTTTCAAACAGTGCGGAATACATTCCAACAATTCTTCAAAATTACTTCTCATTGCTCACACTATTCCTAACATGGCGTACAAAGCGTCTCTGCTCCCCAACCACATTTTGTAAGTACATTTGCGGTACAACCACTTCGTACCTCCTTCCTACAATCACCACGACACACAAATTCAAATTCACAATTTTCCACCAGTCGACTCTACAAACTGCCAGCAAGTGGATCTGTGGTCAATGAGAAAGTGGCTTCTAACCTTTGACACCCAGTTTGAGTCCAACATTCGGAATGCTGAATCCTAGAGATAGTCTGTGAAGAAAGTAAACTGAGAATTTGTACACCATTTTGTAGTCATACTGAAATTATATCGTTGGTTGTAATAGCTGAAGCATCAGGATGGAGTAGACACTATCTACTCCATCTTGGAAACCCCTGGT